CTATCACTGGTGAAGGCGGGTGACAAAAGATTCAGGCTTTTCTCAAGGAAAGTGAAAAAAGAACAAATTAGGTGAGTATTTGAATTCGGCTAAATTCACTTTCCGCATCGATAGCGATTACATTATCAGCGCGTCCTTAGGTTCTTTGCTGAAATAGCAATTAATTCACCGACATATAGAAAAAAAAAGCTTAGAACTTTCGATTTTAAGGTTTGTGTCGACTGGAAACTTTATTTCAAAATATGAATAAATTCTGGTGTTAAAGGTTGGTCAGTATTTTTCTGCGCGCATGCGTGCATGTGTGTGTGTGTGTTTCTATAATCGAGAGGGAGAGCAAGGGAAGGAGATTAAGGGAGAACACTACGTCGTTGATTTTCTGCGTGAATGAGCCTCACCAGTGGTGGGTATCGTTGCTTTTCGTTTTCTTTTGGCCTTTCTGTGGTCGGAATCGACACGGTATCTTTTTCTGTTTTCTGTCAGTATTAATTAAACATCCACTTTTCTCTACGGCGACACATGAGTGACCTGACACTGCAAAATATTAACTCAACTGCTTATCTTGTAACACAAGTCATTACCATTTTTGTTTTTTTGTTTTCGATCCTCTCTTCTCCATAGATACAGTGTGCCATGGATAAATTGTCGTCCAAATTACGACGAAAATGAAAATAACACTGACATCTCATTTAAACAGATATATTTATCAAAATTGCACAAAAAGTATCTTGAAATACGAAAGAGTAAATATATTCAATAAAATCGCCATTGGCTTCAACCATGTCTTGCATCTCTTCTGGATGGTCTCCTTGTTTAAGTTGGTGAATGCTGCCATAATCCTTGCCTTCAGTTCGTCTTTGGTGTTACACTCAACTGGGCCCCAGACATAATAATCAATGAAGCTGCACATCTGGGGAGTCATGTGACCAGATGTAAGGGGCGATGTGGTCGCAGTAATTGTCTGGCAGCCATGACTGGTTTCTCCTGCTTGTGTGTCATATCCTGTTGCCAGATATAGAATCTTCCAGAAGCCACCCTCTTGACCCAGGGTAGCACTGCCTCCTCAAGGCACTTGATGTAGGCCTTCGTGTTGAGTTTGAGACCCTCACCAACGGGAGATCTTTTCTTATCTGAACGATCAGAGTGGATTTTTCGAGCTGCCGTACTTTCATAATCACAATTCGACACATCCGACTCTTTCCGAATCCTTTGTACTGAGCAGCCAAACACTCTGAAATGGTCGTATTGGAGCTTCCGGCGCGAATGCCAAATAGTTCAGCATGCCGTTTCCAAATTTCTGGCGGAATCAATTGCGTCATGGTGCTCTTTTTCTCACAGACGGTGCCCAACTGACTCTACTATACTGTGCACTCAGCAAAATCAAAATCAAACAACGCGCATGCGCGAAATTAAAAATATAAAATGGCGACAATTTTTCACATCGCATCCTCTATAAACTTATGAGTTGAAAATATAGATTAAATCCACCAGAATGACTAAATAAGGAAAAAAATTAAAGAAATCTTTATAAATCTTTCACCATTTATTTCACTTCATCAAAAATTTCGGGAGGAGAATAATTCAATGTTACATTTCAGTTTTGAAATTCTATGTTGTTTTGATTGGTTGTGTAGACGTCACGTGTACAATGACGTCTGTGTTATGTTTTTATGAAATTTTAAATGCTTTTTTTTTAATTATTTCTGTTGGTTATATCACGTGTATAACTCATGGCGCATGTGTATATGCTTCGTTTTCTAAATGATACATTGTGTCTTAAAACTAAATATATGACGAATGTCGGAAATCAAACCTAATACTACGCATTTCATTTCCAATATTCGTTATACACAATCTTTAATACACGCTTGAAATAATCATACTCACAACAATTTATCAAATGCATCAATCATACACTGAAATACGTTAAACCACAACTTCGATCTAAAGAATGCACTTATTGAAAGAGAAAATAATTTACTTAGACGGAAAGTTCTTGAACGTGCTCCTATCGAATCTTGTCAAAATGTAAATCTGCGACCAGGATTTTTTTTTTTTTTAGATATCTCTTTTATTAAAAGATATACTCCATTCCCAAGCCGACATAGGTGACCATATATATTTAAACAAATTAAAAGAAAACAATTATATCAATGCCTTCTAGTATTAAAAAAAAAATGAAACATAAATAATTCGTTAAATTAATATCAAATTAAAATAATAATTACATTGATAATTTAAAAAAATCTCATTTTACAGGGTTTCATTATTTTACAGTTGAAATTGGTAGATATAATCGTAACTTCTGTATTAGCAGTTTATTCTCTCGCACTTCTTGGTTGTGTAACATTCTCTCAGTTTCTTGATTCTCAGTCAAGTTCGATCTCCAAAAATTTAAGTGCAATATCCATCGTTATCATCTATTTTAATTCCTGTTCTTTTATTGCCCTCTCTTATTACTATAATTTTTTTTATCATACTCTATATCACTCAGTAAACCCTGGCGTCTTAGTGGCTTTATTACCTTGCGTGGGGTGAAATGATTAAAAACATAAATAAAAAAAATATTCTCTCTCTCTCTCTCTCTCTCTATCTATCTATATAAAAATATAAACAGATAAGACAAAATTCAACATCATTTACTCAATCAGTTATGACATGCGCGACACACGCTTAGGCAATCTTTCAATACATGACTGACGGGACAGATTTTTTTCCCCGCAGCAGGTTGCCATTTTTTTTCTGCGGTAGACCAGTTCCCATCCAAGGCTATACAGAACCCGGTCTGGGGGAGAGAAGAATTGGATTCATACCTTTCCCGAGATATGAATTCACGTAAGTGAATGTAATGGATTCGACTGGATCTCGAACTCGGCTCTCTGATTTCTCAATCCGAGCCCCTATCCATTACTCCACCGTGCCTCCTCAACATTTACTCACTATCGTTAATTAGGCATTAGAATCCAGTATAGTTTACCTTTCACAGCCTAAAGAATATTTATGATGATTTCCTAAGAGTAGCTTAGATGTGGCACAAGGCCGAATGTATAAGAAGCACACTCATTGCTCGGTCGTAACTTTTCGAGCGAGACAAGTTTGTTTAACCATTGCACCATATCGAGGTTCTGTACGCCCTGTGAGAATCAAATTCTCCAAGCCACCTTTCCTTATTATGTGTCCTATTAATTCCAATTGGTTCTTTCTGATTCTAAGTAGATTCTTTCATGTGCCTTATGCCCTCAGGACATCGCCAATCACAGCTCTCCACATCTTCTTATCTCTTTGTCTTTCTGTTATTTCTCCTAAGCCCTGTTCCGCCATTCATTTACTCAAGCTCTCTAAGTATGTTATGCATTGTTTCCCTTGGTCGATTTTGTCCTCTATCTGTCCCGTGAGTATCGAATTTTCCAAGCCCTCCTTCCTCTTTATATGCCCTAGAAACCTCAACTGTCTCTTCCTGGTGTTAAATATTAGTTTCATTTTGTTTCCATTTTCTCCCAAACGTCATTGTTCCTCACATGTTCGGTCCACGGTAAGCGCCCTTTTTTCGTTTCCATTTTTCTTATCCCCATATTCAGTGCGCAGTATTCCCAGCATCCTTCTGTAGAGCATCATTTCTATCATTATACACCGAAAATTTTAGGAGCAAAATTCAGGTTATATCTGTGGCTGGCTACGGACTTATTGATACACCTTAGTAATTTCCAAGGTGATTATTAATTTCAGAATCTTAGAAAATTTAGCTGCCATCGTATGTAAATAAAATGTGCGTGAATACTTATATGCTTTTCAGGCAAAGACTGACAATTAAAAACGACAAACCATGGCCTAGATATTTCGAACGCAGTTGGCTCTGATGTGGATACGATCATGTCGAATTGGCAGAGTCAATCTTATAAGTCCTACTTAACAGTTCCACATGAGCAACCTCTTGTAATCCCCTTTCCCCCCCCAAAGGTTTTCCGCCCCCAAAGAGGCGATAACAGCCTAAAGCTTAACACAAGCTCCAGTGCTATTTCTCATTCCTTATTCTCATTCTCTCTCTCTCTCCCTCTTTCGCTCCTTGCGTTTCTCACACAGGTTCCCTTTTCCTCGATAAAAAAAAGACGCCCACTTTCCCTCATCCTAATTCTTGAAATTTATCAAATCTTGGCACGCGTCCAAATGAAGGGAAGTGGGTGGGGATAGAAGATTACATTACACGAATATTCCAAAATGGCGGCTTTTAAAATCAGCATTCAAATCTAGGTAATTAATCTATAGAATCTACTGTCAAGAAAAATGCGAGAAATGTTTTTTTGATATCCCTTGAAATACTTAAAACCATGAACTCAAACCTTACAAATTTCCGGGATGAGGAGGTATCATTATTTACACTATTTATATTCGGACTATTTTCCTCATCTTTGTTGTTGTTGTTATAAAGTTTCGATCGTTGTACTCTCCGAACCTCCTCAGGTGTGTATCAATCAAAGTAACCTACAAGGAATTCTGTACTGAGCCCTTTATTTAATTTATAGGGTAGACTGTTCTCGTTTCACTGCTGATGTTTATCGTCTATTTCTTATTTTTGTACTGTCTTGACCAATCATGTCAGATTTCTTTGTCTCCCCCATCACTACGATGTCCATCCAGCTTTGCATTTAGGGGGCGACTTGTTTTTACCTTTATATTCCCTGCCACAACTGCATGGAATCGAGTGTGCACAATTCCTTCTCATGTTATATGAACCGCAGATCTTCTGGATCTTTTCCGATAAGCCCTTGACGTCAGGTAATCAGACTATGGCAATTTTGTCCCTTCTATTCCCACCTGTACACGTTGATGTTATGTTTGTCCTTTGGGACAGTGGACTAGTTGATTAAAGCGTTGGTTTGTGAATTTGATGACAAAGTGGTTGTGTGTTCAATCCCTGGGTCCGGGCAGTGTGTGCTTGCACTCAGTGGAAACGGACGAGCAATAACTGAGCAGTAATAAAATAAGAACTAGACGAGAACATAGACTGTTCTCGTTCCATTGTTCCCGTTCCACTGTTCCACTGTTCCCGTTCCATTGTTCCCGTCCCACTGTTCCCGTTCCACTGTTCTCGTTCCATTGTTCCCGTTCCACTGTTCCCGTTCCATTGTTCTCGTTCCATTGTTCTCGTTCCATTGTTCCCGTCCCACTGTTCCCGTTCCATTGTTCCCGTTCCACTGTTCCCGTTCCATTGTTCTCGTTCCATTGTTCCCGTTCCACTGTTCCCCCACTGTTCCACTGTTCTCGTTCCATTGTTCCCGTCCCACTGTTCCTGTTCCACTGTTCCCGTTCTTGTTCCCGTTCCATTTCCCGTTCCACTGTTCTCGTTCCACTGTTCCCGTTCCACTGTTCTCGTTCCATTGTTCCATTGTTCTCGTTCCATTGTTCCCGTTCCACTGTTCCCGTTCCATTGTTCCCCGTTCCAATGTTCTCCTCCATTGTTCCTGTTCCATTGTTCTCGTTCCATTGTTCTCGTTCCATTGTTCTCGTTCCACTGTTCCTGTTCCATTGTTCCTGTTCCACTGTTCTCGTTCCATTGTTCCCGTCCCACTGTTCCTTCCATTGTTCTCGTTCCATTGTTCCACCAATGTTCTCGTTCCATTGTTCCCGTTCCATTGTTCCGTTCCACCTGTTCCATTGTTCCTGTTCCATTTTCCCGTCCCACTGTTCCCGTTCCATTGTTCCCGTCCCATTGTTCTCGTTGTCCCATTCCAATGTTCTCGTTCCATTGTTCCCGTTCCATTTCCTGTTCCACTGTCCCCACTGTTCCCCGTCCCACTGTTCCCGTTCCACTGTTCTCGTTCCCCCTCCCCTGTTCCATTCCATTGTTCCTGTTCCACTGTTCCTGTTCCATTGTTCCCGTTCCACTGTTCTCGTTCCATTGTTCCCATTGTTCTCGTTCCACTGTTCCCGTTCCATTGTTCTCACTTGTTCCTGTTCCAATGTTCTGTTCCTGTTCCATTGTTCCGTTCCACTGTTCACGTTCCACTGTTCTCGTTCCATTGTTCCCGTCCCACTGTTCCCGTTCCATTGTTCCCGTCCCATTGTTCTCGTTCCATTGTTCCCGTTCCAATGTTCTCGTTCCAATGTTCTCGTTCCATTGTTCCCGTTCCAATGTTCTCGTTCCACTGTTCCCGTTCCACTGTTCTCGTTCCACTGTTCCCGTTCCACTGTTCCCGTTCCACTGTTCCCGTTCCACTGTTCTCGTTCCACTGTTCCCGTTCCACTGTTCCTGTCCCATTGTTCCCGTCCCACTGTTCCCCGTTCCCACTGTTCTCCCATTGTTCCCGTCCCACCATTGTTCTCGTTCCATTGTTCCCGTTCCATTGTTCTCGTTCCCCTCTTCCTGTTCCATTGTTCCCGTTCCTGTTCTCGTTCCACTGTTCTGTTCCACTGTTCCCGTTCCATTGTTCTCGTTCCATTGTTCCCGTCCCACTGTTCCCGTTCCACTCCACCACTGTTCCCCCATTCCATTGTTCCTGTTCCATTGTTCCCGTTCCACTGTTCTCGTTCCACTGTTCTCGTTCCATTGTTCCCGTTCCACTGTTCCCGTTCCACTGTTCCCGTTCCACTGTTCCCGTCCCACTGTTCCCGTTCCATTGTTCTCGTTCCATTGTTCCCGTTCCAATGTTCTCGTTCCACTCTTCCCGTTCCATTGTTCCGTTCCACTGTTCACGTTCCTGTTCCACTGTTCTCATTTCATTGTTCTCGTTCCACTGTTCATCTCCGTAGATTAAATAAAGTGTTCAATTCAGAATTCCCTGTAGGTTATCCAGATCGATAAACACCTGAAGAAGGCCGATGTGAACAACGGCCGAAACGCTGTGATAACAGCAACCTTACAATCATTAGACTAATATTTTGGATTTTAATTGATACCACTTGGGAATTGTTAGCATGGTTAATACGTATTTTACAGACTGGAATGGAATTGGAATATCAATCACAACGCCCTTTCAATAGTATTAGTATTATTCAAATATTTGTTACATCATTCAGGCAAAATACATGGAGATCTGGTTTGTAAATTATTAGTAATCTTACCAAATCAAAAATAGTACTAGCGTTTAAGATAGTTAACATTAATAACCAAAATAAACAATTCAACTTTGAAGATACTTGAAAAAAAAATAGGCGCTTTTAAAACTTTTTTAATGTTTCGGTTGAAGTCTTCAATATTTCATTACTAATTATCACTATCCTCCACCTCTTCTTCATATATATATACCCTGTCCTTTCAGGACAAGCTTGATCATGGCTCTCCACAACTTTCTCTCCTTTGTAGCTCTTAATTAGTTTTATTTTTTTCTCTATCATTCTCAATCCCTATTCTGATATTCATTCACACATTAGGTACCTCGCTGCTTTCCTTCTCTTTCTTATCTTCAATATATCCTGTGAGTGGCAAATTCTCCTAGCCTTCTTTTCTCGTTTTGTGTTCTAGAAATTTCAATTCTTTCTGATTCTAAATATACGAGTTCGTTTTGTTTCCATACATCTTAAAACTTCCTCGTTGCTCATATTTTCAGTGTATGGGATTCTCAGCATCTTTCTGTAGAACCACATTTCTGTTACCCCAAGTCGCTTCTTCATCTGTGAGGAAACTGTCCAGCATTCTCTGCCATATAGGAGAACTGATATTACATAACAGGTTAGTACTCTTTTTTTGATTCTAACGAAACTATTTTCCTATTGCTTAATAATTTGATTAGCTTTTGGGAGGCACTTTCGTTATTCCAATGTGCGTTCGGATTTCGACATCACCTTTTCCGTCATCTGTTAGAATACTATCCAGATATTTAAAATTTTCAAACTTGATTGATATCTCTCATTCATAGTTCTTATATTGGGTTATTCCTCTTGCTGACAACTATAGTTTCTGTTTTATTACAAGTGATAGTTAGTCCTTTATTCTCGCTCTCTTTATTGCTCTCTCTATGGATTCCGACAGTTTCCTATCTGTAACTGCTGCTTTATCTGCGTATCTGATGTTAACATTGTGTCCGCTAATAATAATGTTGTAAATTAGAGCAAGGGTGTATTGAGATTAGGAGGTGGGGGCGCCTAACCGTTAGCACTCCCGACCGCTACGAGGGTAATAAACAGAGAGGGGGAAAGAGACGTGAGGTAACAAAATGATACTGCCTCAGAAAGCATAGCAGCTTTAGGAACAATATACCGATGGGACCACCTTCACAAAATACCGATTCTTGCTGACCGCCTACTGCTGACTACTGGTTTCCTTGTCGTTTTTTATTAACAGGGGAACCAGGATCTAAAAAATCTCAGTGGGTTAAATAAATTGTTCGGTATAAAATTCTAACGTAAATCACCTGAAAAAGGCCTGAGCGTAAAACGGCCGAAATGTCATGAATATGACAATAAAGATGAAGACAACAGTCCGAACAATGTAAATAGTGTAAATAGTAAAGTCATCTCAGAAATATAGACAGATTTTGACAAAAATGTTAAAGTCTTTCCCGGATTGATTGATTGATTTGTTTTCTACGGCTTATTAACCTTTTGCAGGTTATTTAAAGCCAGAAAATATTTTTAAAAGATTCTAAGAAATTTTTTGTCGGGAGTCGGGGTGGGGGAAATAAGGATCTGGTGATACGAGTCTTACTAATTAACCCATAGCGTGGAAGAGAAGAGAAGAGTATACCTTTCCAAGAGTAATTGATCATAAGTGAATATAGCGACTGGAACGCGGCTCTCCGATTATTAATTCCGAACCATTATACACCAACCGCACATCCAAGCTTACAGCACCTGCTATTTCCAAGCCATCGCCATCTAGGTACTGACCAGGCTCGATGTTGCTTATTGTGGGTGATCAAAGGAGAACTGGTGTTTCGACGTGATACAGCCGTAAGCCTTCATTCTGGTGTTATAATACATAAAATATCAAGTTCACTGCGCGAAAATTAATCTGTTGAATGGCTTCTATGTTTTTTTGTTTGTTTTTTTTTTCAGGTCGCACGTTTCATTCGATATGTATGTTAAATAAAGTTCTGTTACATTCTGAAGACTTTGACAGACCGACAGTCCGATGCAACCAGGTTTGGCTGATCTCGCTTGTTTCAATCCCCTTTGAGCCGTGTGAGGCGCTTCTGACGAAGTGTGTGGGCTTCTCCGTCGCGCAGAGTTGTCCACCACAATCAAATTCACGCGAATGGCCTCGTCAAACTCTCTTTGATTCACAGCCACCGCTACCATGGAAGAGAAAGCGAAGAGGTAGAGATGATGACGATCTCGGTGCTCGGATACGAGGGGGGTGCCGACAACACTCGGAACATTTATCAAAAATTTATAAAATTCCTTGTTTAATAGAGTTAAACTATACGCTAAATGACACTTAAAACATTTTGAATAATGTGTTGATTAGTCATCTCACTTTATACACGAGGTTAATTTTTTGCCCATAAGACATAAAATAAGGGAATTAACTTATATTTAATCATTGGCAATTTTGTTCCTTTTTAATTTAATTTATTTATTTAATTTTATTTCACCTCAAGCAAGGCAATAAAGCCACTAGGACGTTAAAGGCTACTGATTGGTACAGAATATGAGAAAAAACTATTATAAAGAGGACAGGACAATAAAAGAACAAGAATTAAGAAAATAGAAGATGATGATTGACTTTATATTTACATCAAAGTTGACTGGGAGGCAAGAAGCTGGAAGAGAGTTCCATATGCGAGAGAAGAAACTCTTCGCCTAGAACGTACGGTTGCATCTTGCCATTTCAACTTTAAAATAATGAGACCTTGCTACCAATCTAGTACTGCGCCTTGTTATGGGGTCCTCCCCTTTTTCATACAAGTGGACTCGACCAGAGTGTTACTGGGACTGCTGCCGTTAAATACCCAGAGTCAGTCAGAATATAGGGAGAAAGAGAGATAGAGAGATTGGGAGAGTGAGCAGTAATTGTGATTGAGTTGGAGGTAGAGTAATAGTGTGAGGTAACCGCTTGTAGAAGTCAATTACAAGTACGTAGACTCTAGAAGTCCTACTTCGAGACTATAATATATATATATATATATATATATATATATATATATATATATATATATATATATATATATATATATATATATTTATTGACTAACTGCGTTCCTGGATTTACTAACAATATACCCATTGTATTATTGTGTAAATACATTTAATTTCTTATCTTTAATTCTTGCGTTTGTCATTCATTGGAGACCGAATTTCATCTCGGAATCCACAACACGCTTAAATTCATAAAGTCTAGGTACCATAGAGGAAAGTTCATCAGAGTAATTACTACGATAATATTTTTAAAAAAAGACACAGGGAAGCGACATTACGGCGGTAAGAAAGGGCCTGATGCTGAGATGCCAGGTCAGGGCCAATAACATTGCAAATTCTTCTTTGGATGTTATCAAGAATCTCTAAATATATAGCAGGTTGCACCAGACCAGATGTGGCAGCAATATTCAAAGCAAGGACGTATGGTATACGGTATAGGTGAGATATTACCCAAAAGCATTTCATAAGATACGAGACGAAAACTTATTTGAACTGCGTGATAAACTCGAATTATGTGGAAATATATTAGAATAATCTACAACAATTACTGTGAAAAAACCGCTATCCGCATGATAGGAAACCAGTTAGGGTAGTACACAGAAATAGTGTAGATGCAAAAGGCGATTATCTCTCTTTGGTCGAGATGAAATCACGTGGGTCACGTGACGGACGCTTAGTGACGACACTATATAGTGACAGTCAATCAGGCTTCTCCAGTCAGTCTCTAACAAGTGGTACTACTTATCTCCGGTTCACAATTCTAAATGTTGGGAAAAACCTAGGACTCGCCGTTTCCCCTTTGTAAAACATGAGACATAGCAGATGAATCTGTCCTGTTCGAATTTGGAATCCTAAATATGGCTTCTGCAGAAATCCCTGGCTGCTCCAGTTCCTGTTGAGAGTTATTATATGTAAGACTCTTTTATTCGTTGTCGTTTCACTCTACTTGTTGTTGCATACATGTTATATTTTCTCAGCGTGGGGCACGTGTAAATATGTGTACATAATTTTGTGTATACCTTAGTGGTGTAAAATTCTCTCTGAGATCAGAGTGTGTTTGTCGTTCCTTTTCTTTCAGCCATTCCGTTCCGTCCGTGAAATAAGATGTCATTACAATAGGAAGAAGGGAAGAAAAAAAAAGATGATCCCAAGAGAACTACTGGGATTTACTATCGTTGATACAATCTTACCAACATAATACGCAGATGATAGCGCGCTGATGGTAAACTCAGAAGGAAAATACAAAAACTTGTAAAGAAGGTAATGAATGACGCCAAAATGTACGGCCGTCAGCAAGAGGGGCAAGAAATTTGGAGACACCAGACTTAAGCAGGTACAGAAGTTTAACTATCTGCCGATGTGTGACACAGAGCTACAAAGGCGTTTCAGCGAAAGCTGCTTTCCAGAAACTAAGCAATGTATTAAGACAGAGCATTTCAATAGAAACAAATCATAGAGTACTGAACTGCTACATATATCTATCGTCTTGTATAGAAGTCACGATGGACAATCTCCTTAAAGCTAAATAAGATACTCGAAACAAGAGAGATGTGCTTCTACAGAGGGAATGCTGAGAATAACGTGGACAGAAAATGTAAGCAACAAAAAGAATTCTAAAGACAAAGGGATCTAGAAAGATACTCATACTGATGATCAGAGACTTACTATGTAAATATGGCTGATTATAATCATACACACAGATTCTGACGAAGAAATGGATGGTACTATTGTAGCGTTGTAACACTCTTTGAAGTTAAACCTACCTACCTACCTATCTATCTAAGCACGCACACATAGACAGATTTTTAATGAACGATTTTCCAAATGTCAATGACATACAACAATGTCGGGATTACATACCCAAATTTATTACACACACACACACACACATATATAAAATTAGCTACTATCTATTTATCTATCTATGTATCTATATATTTATGCATATATAGATAGTTAGGTCGATGTATGCATAGATAGATACATTCGAAAAACAATGATATATACATATATATATATATATATATATATATATGTTCGTGCGTGTGCATCTATCTCTTTCTCGCCCTATTATATATATATATATATATATAGAGAGAGAGAGAGAGAGACAGACAGACAGACAGACAGAAAGATACAAAAAGACTGAGATAGATAGATGCAAAAATGCTGAGATAGATAGATGCAAAAATGTTGAGATAGATAGATGCAAAAATGCTGAGATAGATAGATAGATAGATGCAAAAAATGCTGAGATAGATAGATAGATAGATAGATGCAAAAATGCTGAGATAGATAGATAGATAGATAGATGCAAAAATGCTGAGATAGATAGATAGATAGATAGATGCAAAAATGCTGAGATAGATAGATAGATAGATAGATAGATAGATAGATAGATAGATAGATGCAAAAATGCTGAGATAGATAGATAGATGCAAAAATGCTGAGATAGATAGATAGATGCAAAAATGCTGAGATAGATAGATAGATGCAAAAATGCTGAGATAGATAGATAGATGCAAAAAATGATGAGATAGATAGATGCAAAAATGCTGAGATAGATAGATGCAAAAATGCTGAGATAGATAGATAGATGCAAAAATGCTGAGATAGATAGATAGATAGATGCAAAAATGCTGAGATAGATAGATAGATAGATGCAAAAATGCTGAGATAGATAGATAGATAGATGCAAAAATGCTGAGATAGATAGATAGATAGATAGATAGATGCAAAAATGCTGAGATAGATAGATAGATAGATAGATGCAAAAATGCTGAGATAGATAGATAGATAGATAGATGCAAAAATGCTGAGATAGATAGATAGATAGATAGATGCAAAAATGCTGAGATAGATAGATAGATAGATAGATGCAAAAATGCTGAGATAGATAGATGCAAAAATGCTGAGATAGATAGATGCAAAAATGCTGAGATAGATAGATGCAAAAATGCTGAGATAGATAGATGCAAAAATGCTGAGATAGATAGATGCAAAAATGCTGAGATAGATAGATAGATAGATAGATAGATAGATAGATAGATAGATAGATAAAGAAGAGACTGAGGTAGATAGATTAAATAATGCCTAGATAATGACGCATGCAAAGAGAGAGAAAGAGAAAGGGGGAGATAAAGTTGCTAGGTAGACTAATAGATACAATGGAGGTTGAGTACACAGAAACGTTACGTATGTAAGATGAACAATACAACAGCTTCAAACCGAACAGCAATGGAGACAAACCGAACCGATGCTAGTGGTATTAAACAATAAAAGGCGATCGAAATGACGTGTTCGTTGTAGATGTCGTGAAGTGACAGATGCAACTTTAGCGGCAGCTAATCTACATACTAAATATGTGGCCTCTTCATCACGCTCTTTTGTCGCAAGCCGCCCGGTCCCGTTTGAAAAAAAAATAAAAATAAAATAAACAGCTTTCGTTCCCCCACTTACCATCTATATTGTCGTCAAAGCGCGGCCTCCTGATTCGTTGAGCGGCTTGACAACCCAACCCGTTCTGTTAACATGCTTCAGGCTTCTGACTTCAACTGGTTAGGGTGGAGATATGCAGATGGGATTAGGTTGGACGGGGAGGGGCGGATTTAGTAACAAGCTGAAGCTACTTATCACGTGACGCCTTCTCTATGACAACCCCCTACACAATGTACAACATGAGGGAGGGGTTGATTGAAGGGTTCTTTTTAAAAACACTCTTTCGCTTTTCTTACCCCTCCTTTTGGTCTAATTCCCTGGAGTTGGTATTGATAGGGTTTTAAGCTGCCAGCAAGGTAAGACAGATAAGAAAACGGAAAAAAAGCTAGGTTAGAAGAGTGAGTGAGTGAAAGAGAGACAGGGAGAAGAAGAGAGTAGGGAGATTTATACAAGTATTTTGTACGAGATTTATAAAAGTTTTGTAGTAAAGCTTTCTTGTGTTAATCGTTCAAAAACGATGGAGTTGACTGATTTAAAATCAGTTTGAAAATTATAGCTTTATAATAATTCATTATTTGATTAAATGAAACAAAAAGGTTAAAAGAACAGTAATACAAGCACTGACGGTAGGGATGAAGAGGTCTTTTGGAAAAGACGCGTTCTCTTTTCTTTCCGCTTCTTTCGGTATAAATTCCTTTTGGCTTGCATTGATACGGTTTTAAATTGCCAACAAAGTATTGATTTTTTACGGCTTATCAGCCCTTCGCGGGTTTTTTAAAACCGAAATATATTCAGGATTGAAAGGTTTGCTTACACCACCCGGTCTTCCCAAGCGGTTCCCCCATTTTATGTACTGAACAGGACACGATACGACACGAAAGCAAGCTAAGATGGGTAAGAAAAAAAGAGGTGCATTAGCAGAGAGAGAGAGAGAGAGAGAGAGTGAGTGAGTGAGATATATATATATATATATATATATATATATATATATACAGAGAGAGAGAGAGAGAGAGAGATTTATACTATATAAATTTTAAAAGTATATTGAATTAATTTGATACGGAAAACAATGGGAGAGCCGTGTTCGAATTCCAGTCGAGTTCATTACATTCACTTACGTGCTAATGCCCTTGGAAAAGGCATGAATCCAACTCTTCTCTCCCCAGATATAGGTAAAATAGCAGAGCAGACTGTGTCCTACAACCTTGGGTGGCAACCAGTCTACGAGAAAAAATTATGGAATCCAACCGTCTGTTTCCTTTTAGGTCCTCACTCTTTAGGCATAGGCTAGCAGAAGTTAGCCTTGTGATTTGCCAGTTTATGATGTGTCGGAGGCACGGATTGAGAGAGCCGAGTTCGAATTCCAGTCATAGTCTTGGGGAAGGTATAAATCCAAACCTTCCCCCACCCAGCTATCGATAAATAGACTGGGTCCTATTGTATTGGATGGCAACCGTTCAAGGAGAAGGAAAACTCTGAATTCAAAGCTTGTAGCCCTGGTGAAGCACTTCACTATGGAGATGACAAAGGAAAGGGTCGTTCGTATTGACTTAGTGATCTACGGTTGATTCCTTCTTAGTAAGACTGTCGTTGAAAAACAATTAGGCTGACTGACTTAAAAATCAGTTTGAAAATTATTATTTGATTAAAAATAGTGTTCTGCCCCCAAGAGTACGTATGCGTCCATGTCATACGCATGCGTAAACTCGAAGACAAGCCAGCTAAACACCTTAAAACAATTAAGACGAACTCCTGTAAAGGCGGCACGTTTATTAAGAACCAAAAGGGGAAGATTAGAAAAATAAATGAATACATATAAATAGAACCAGTTAGTTTGGAAATACAAACGAGAATTATGACAAAAGCAGCCGGGGTCCTGAACATCAAACGAAGACCATTTGTCTAAATAGGTAAAAAAAGGTAGCGAATACTTCGTTTATATGAATAAATTTACCTACGTGAAAACATTTCAATGTTGCAGTCAGTTCGCAACAAAGAATGTTAGAAGGTTACATTTTGAACCAGTGGACAGTGAACACGTGTTGAAAGGGTTCTACACAGAAAGATACAAACGTCAAATAAACGTATCAAATATGGCTACATAAAACCAATGTTCAAATAATGATCTGATAATTCAGACAAATATAGGGGGGAGGGGAAGGTTAATAAAAGTTACAAACCGGTGATGGTATTATTGAGGGTGAGATTAGGTTGATGAAACTACCGACAATGTACTATTGTGTGGGATTACAGTGAAGGGCTACCCGGATGTGGTCAAAACATTGACAATCCAGAAGGTAACTAAAATAAATTAAAAAAAAAAGGACGGTGGATAAAAAAAAAACCGAAAGCGTAAAAGAAATAGATACACACTAGCAGCATGACCCGGCGATGCCCATGCTTGATTAAAAAATGATACGACTCATACAGCAATCGCTATCACTTAAAATATTTTTGCCCTTCCTTGCCTTTAAAGGAGTACCCTTTGCCGTGCTGATGTTGCTACATGCCTTACTTCTTGCCTATCTCACACTGCGAGTTTTTTCTAAGCTCTATACTAAACATTAAATCTGTTACGAAAAAAAGAACTAAACAAAATGAACGCAAAAGGATCAGCTTTAAAAAAGGACTCGTAACTGGAAAAATCAAATGAAAAAGAATGTTAACAACAAATACTTTTCCACACCCAACCCAGTTCTGCGGAATCAGAATCAACGTTGAGTTTAAGCAAGCGAATGAGCCAATTGGAGTAAAGTGCCATGCAGATTTACATTTTTCCCACTTGTGACGAATGCAGCTATCGATTTTTTTTGCATGCTAGTTAACATTCGTGTCAGTTAGCTGTTGGCTCTCACGCTGGCCAATAGAATCTTCCTGCTTATTCGTGGCAGCCAGCTATAGGCTCTCACTCTGGCCAGTAGAAAATGGCCGCAAACTGCATGAAAAGTGCCGTAGAAGCATGAAAAAATCGAGTATTTCCACTATCGATGAGAGGTGGGAAATACAAAGTCGGTCTTGGCCTTCCCGCTAACTTGGAGCATGTACATGTAAATTTTGGTGCAAATCCGTCGAAAATTGCGGCTGTGCATTCATCTCTCTCTCTCTCTCTCTCTCACACACACACACACACACACATATCCTGCCTTTTATAGATAGAGATAAATAAGACTAGTTAGTCTGAAATTACAAACAAAGGTAACCAGAAATATGACAAAGGTAGCCGGGGTCTTAAACATCAAATTAAGACCATGTGTCTAAATAGGTAAAAAAAAGTTAAGGAATACTTCGTTTACATGAATATGTATAAAGCTTGCTACGAGAATACATTTCAATATTGCGGTGAGTAAGCATAAAAAGATGTTAGAAGAAAGTTAACATTTTGCAACAGTCGGCAGCGGACATGTGTTGAAAGATACTCTGAGAGATACAAATGTATAAAATACGGCTACTTTAAAAAAATGTTCAACTAATAACACGGAAATAAAGAGAAAAGTTATCAAATGCTACAAACCCATGATGGTTAACCTTAGGGATGAGATATTTACCAGGTCGTCCTACCGTAGACGAGATGTGACACAAGGTTGAGTTTAATGTGCGGACACCGAGTGTGTACATTCAGGCCAAGGGCAAAAATTCCCGTTGGTTGCGCTGGCCTCTGTACGAGTACCGATCACTCTCTCTCTCTCTCTCGAGTGCCATATGAGGGTGCAGCGTCATGTAGCTGTTCTCCGGGGTTGGGCACCTCACAGTTTTGATTTTTATTAAGTATGAAATCAGAAGGATAAAAATACTGACCACGTACTCGGTGTAAGATCTTTATTGTGTGGGATTCCATTGAACGGCTAACCGGAAGTGGTCAAAACGGCGACAATCTAGAAGGTAGCTAAACTAAAAAAGGGCGAAAGAAAAACAAATACAGTGTCTGTACAGTGACTGTAGTTTTGAGCGCTTCATTTGAAAATACGCGTTTTCTTTTCTTTCTCGTCCCTTTGGTCCAATTCTGTTGAATTTGTATTGAAAGAGTTTCCAGCTAACTTCAAGTTAGGTATCTTCAATGAAGACAAAACTGCTCTCTATTAATCACCACAGAGAGCCTTTCCTTCCCTCCATTAGAATGTCTGACGCTCAACTTCTCGAGAGCAACTCTCTGCGACTTCTCGGTCTCACGTTGACTGCTGACCTGAGATGGAATAAATACATCGAGTCAATTGCCTCGTCCACTGAGAGGAAAGTTTTTCTCCCCTGAGTCGATCCTCCAGATCTACAAATCCACAAATTCGCCCTTGCATGGAGTATTGCTGCCATATATGGTCTGGCGCCCCTTCTGTTTGCCTCGGGGTTCTTGATAGGCTCCAGAAGCGGATATGCAATATGGTTGGCCCTGCCCTGGCGTCTCGTCTACAGTCACTTTCTCACAGACGCACCGTCGCCTCCTGTCTGTTCTACAAATACTTTCATGGAAATTGCTCCGAGGAGCTGCATTCGCTGTTCCCAGACTTCATGAGTTCAAGCGCCCTACGAGGCTGGCATCCCTCTCTCACCCCTTCACTGTCGAAACTCCTAATGTAGCCGTCTCTTCTACTCTAATAGATGTCTCGCACCTCTCGCCCGTGGAACTCTCTCTCCCTTCTCCTGTTTCCTGTGAGTTATAATCT